CAATAGCTGTTCAAGTTCATCTCTTACCTAAAAACATCCAAATCACATGACACAATCAATACCCTTGATAATTTATCCCCAAATGTGAGAATCTGTAAAAAAATCACGTACTTTTTGAACCCGATTGGTTAATCTTGTCATTGCGCTCTTGAGCTTACGCACCCTATCCAGGTTACGACTGCTTATCTGCAACAATTAGATCTCAAAAAATTAGATCGGAAGAAAACTGATTATCTAAGTAAGTCATTCTTAGTATTCAAATCCCAATAAATCGCTTTCAAAACAACCCACCATGGAGGTCAGTTCATCCAAAGCAGGGTAGGCAGCGGTTTCCAGTTCTCTCGTGCGTGCATCAAGAAAACTACAAATACCTTCTAGTGCCACTTCAAGAGCTCGGAATTCAAATGGGAATTCTAAGTGTAATTACATCATAAGTCATAACCTTTAACTAGAACATCAATAGGATACTTATTGTGCATGTTATCGATTATATATACCATTAGATTCACTGGTTTGAGCCTCGGATTGAACACCAGTTCCCTCTTCATCATCACCTTGGCCCATAAAATTTAAATTAGGCGGAGGCAACCTTCTTTGAAGCTCTTCAACAATGGGGATGACATTATCATCAAGCGGATCACGTAGCAATACCTAAGTACCAATCAACATCATACATCATAAACAATCCTTCCTCGATGGTTCACAAAGAGAAACGATTGGATGTAAAAAAAATCGGGAATCAATTTATACCAAACATCGTAATCGGTTTAAACGCTTCTGTGAAAGACATACAAACAACATCCAGAGTGTTTGTTTTTCAATAAAAGTTACATACACAACACAACATGAGAAGCAGACGTACCTCTTCGGTTGTAATGATGGCCTTGATATGCTGCAAACACAAAATCGGAAACAGATTAAACAACCAAACTAAACACGGACAATAATGAATTAGCGTAAAGATATGAACCTCCAAATTAAGAACAATAGCTTTTTCTCTGCCAAAAATCGCAGAAGGATACGATAACAGCGGATCAAGAATCCTAAGATCTCTAGCGTGAATCGAGACTCTTTTCATGATACCATATTTATCCAAATCCAAAACTGTGCTCTGTCCACTAGTATCAACTGAAACCCAGCTCCGAGAAACAGCAGTTTTCTTAATCAAAGAAGCTGGTTGAGAGAAAGAATCCAACGGCCCAATAACCCCTTCTCCGCCCATCCTTTAACTGAAAACCCCAAATCAAATCACTAAGCTCTTCGAGATAACAAACAGTACTGTAGCTATAGTTATGTATGAAAGCGTAGAGGAAATAATAATGATGGATTCGAAGGGTGAAAGTGGGGTTTTGATTAGGGGAATTTGTGGCTACCATTGGTAGAGATGGTAATTGCAGTACTTTGTCTGGTGAGTGGGGGAAGGGCCGGTAAAATGGCTGGAATGTGTGATGTTTTTTTGATGATTACAATGGCGATACAACAAATATGAAGGGGGGAAATGCAATTCAAACATTTACAATTTGTCCCCACGTGTATTTTCTGTCTCAGTCCTCCAATTTATGTCGATTAAACAATTACGATGTTTTATTCTAGAGTTTGAAATTTGATGTAGTGACAAAGCTCAATCTTAACATTGGGATTTATCATGTATGATAAAACATAATAAAGAAATCATAATGCTTAATCAGTGTAAGCCTTGTTACTTACATTTGTTTGACTTTTAATTCTTTATAACTAAAATATGATCAAACAACAATAAATTAAAGCCATATATATTATGTTTTTTTTTCATAATATTAATCATTTAACAATATAAAAAGTAATTGTTTCCCTAAACTAGAGAATTTGAGATGTTTTAAATAATATTCACATACCCAAAGCTAAAAGAAACTATTATAATAACATAATCGAATTTGAATGAAAAGTTTTAGCTTCATTTATCCAAAGTAGAACGTCTTTGCAAAGGATGTGATACTATTAGAACATGAGGATGAGATTTCAATTTTTATAACTACGGTGCCTAATTTCGAATATTTTATGATAGTCAAGAGTGTAAAATGAAATTAAAAGAACAACCGGCGGGTAAAAACGTTCAGAAATATCTTCGTACAAAGGCGGTACGAATGGTCCCAAAATTCCTTGGAGTCATCAGTACCTTGTAAATTCTTTTTAAATTATTATAAGATAATAAGAAAATAAATGTAGGGTAAATTACACCGTTGGTTCCTCGTGCACATGCCAGAAAGCATGTTTAGTCCCTATTTCCAAAATTTAACTCGTGCAGTCCCTCGTTGTTATTTATCTTGCATGGTTAGTCCCTATGCACGTTAACTGTTAACTCCTTCCGTTTAAGCCACCCACGTGCCTTGCACACAGGGGGCATTTTCGTCTTTTCAGGGTTTGTATTGAAACAGGCGGTCGTGGCGGAGGTGGACCCCCACTCGGAGGAGGAGGAGGACGTGGAGCAGGAGGCTTAGGTGGCGGCGGCGGTGGTCCTGGTCCTTTAAGTGGAGGCGGCGGTGGTCCTGCTCCTTTAGATGGAGGAGGAGGCGGTGGAGGTGTAGCAGCAGGAGGCATTGGAGGTGGAGGTGCCGGAGCTGCATTCGCAGACAACCGTTTAGAAGACTCAACCCTTCCAGGCGGCGGTTGTAACGACGACTCCACCCTACCAGGCGGAGGTCGTAACGGAATACCGACCGGAATACTGGAATCCATTTTCACATTTGAATTTCCATACACTAATTCATCGCCGGAATTTCCAATATTATGAACAGATGAATTCAAATTGTACGAGGGTTTATACGACCCATCTGAAAGATTAACACCATTAATAGAATAATCGCTCAAACTCAAACTCAGAAGAGGCCTTTCATCGTTTTGTCGGCGTTTACCCCAACCTCTTGTATAACAACAAAACATTAATCCGGCGAGAAAAAACGTCGTCGTAGCAGTAACAACCACCGCAATAATAATCTTTTTATGTGTATCGTCATTCTTCCCATTATTCGACTCTGTGTTTCCAAAAGAATTCACCGGCGGCGCTTGTCCAGTTGTACCGGAACTAGGGTCAAGAGGCTCCGCCGGAAAAAATGGAGGAGTTGGAGGTCTCCGGATTGTCGGAGCTTCAGCTTGCAGCTGACGGAGTCGGAGACGGAGCCGGAGAAGGAGAAGGGGAATTTGCCTCTGCTAACCTGCGCGTTCTTCGAGAACTTGTAGACCCGAATCGAAAATATTCTAAGTAATCAAAATACCATTTCTGTGAATGATTATCTTCTCCCGATTCAGGGAAAGTAAGGGTTTTCGAATTCAAGCAAAAGACGAAAATGCCCCTGCGTGCAAGGCACGTGGGTGGCTTAAACGGAAGGAGTTAACAGTTAACGTGCATAGGGACTAACCATGCAAGATAAATAACAACGAGGGACTGCACGAGTTAAATTTTGGAAATAGGGACTAAACATGCTTTCTGGCATGTGCACGAGGGACCAACGGTGTAATTTACCCATAAATGTATTTGTTCAAACACAATAATGATTATGTATGGAGGAAGATAGTATTTT